ACTGGCTGCGTACCATGAATAACGGCCCAGTCAGTCTGACCAGAAACTCCTGCGCCGGACCCGGTGGTTTAAAACTCACGCCGGGCACGTGTGCGTGCGTGCCCAAGATCCCAAGAGGAGAATGGAGGAGAAGGGACTGCGGCGTGACCACCCCCCCTGGGGGGTGATTTCTCGCTAACTGTCTCTCTGTCTCTCTCTCTATCTGGTGAGCGCATGTGCCCTGTAGCAAAAATCTCTCCAAAAAAAAAAAAAAATTTGGTAAAACTTCTTACCTGCCAAAGGAGACTATCACCCTGCTCTCTGGCTGATACAGAGGAATCAATGACTTGATCCCCATGAAAGAGAAGTAGAGGATGAAGCAGGCATGACTCCATCTTGGAGAAGCGCCTCCAAGAGAAGTGGGGAATGAAGCAGGAGCAACTCCATCTTGGAGGAGCACCTCCATTATAAACTGTTAGATTCCTGTGACTAGAAACTTGCATCCTCTTTCTTTGCCTAAGAGTAAATAGAGTGATTAACATTCCTATTGTTCTTAAAACCCCACTCCTCCTGGTTGCCTTAAAATAAGGTCCAATCCCAGGACCTTGCTCAGAACCACAGAGACTATTAAGATTCCATTGTGTTTGGGTAGAGATGGAACATACCCTTAGGGCGATTAACCTGCTTACCTGCTTGTCCTGCCACTGTGATACTTAAGTTGTAAAACTCTACCCCCTACCCTTTTTCCCCCTTTCAAGCTCACTGCTCTTTGTCCTTGTGAATCCTCAAATCATCCCAGACATGATTGTGCATTTTTGGCCTATGTAAGCTCCTTTCTCCTTTGACTCAGGACAGCGGGGTTTTGAGAGACATGAGTCCCCCCATATGCAGCCAGCTTAAGCAATAAACTCCAATAAATTTGGCTATGTCTGAATGTCCTCTTATTTCTCACTGAGTAGAGTATAACACTAACTCAAGTCTGTCTGCCTCCGTAGCAGCATTCATTACTTCATTATATTTTTTTGTTTGAAACTTGAAGCTAATGTATCTAGTCTACCTAGGAAAGTGGAATCTTAAAATTAAAAATGAATTATAATATCAATTCTTGGCAAGAATAGGGGGGGATTGGCTACTCTGATAAACTGTTGACAGGATGTAAATTGGTATAGCATTTCTTTAAAGGGGAAATTTAGCAAAATGTATCAAAACATTAATACTGCATATCCTTCACCTTAGCAACTCCAGTAGTATTTTAGAGAAATCCTCATATTCATGAAAGGTATGTACAATCTGTAATAGTGAAATAAAGCAACATGAACATCTATGAATAAGAAATGGTTGATATCATATACATTACTATAAAACACTTTGTGCTAAACGTAAAGCTATATATTAAGGCTATAGAAAGAGATTCAAGGCTTAAAAAAGTGAAAACAAGGACCAGCAGGGGGCATGGAGTTTAAAGTGCTGGATCCCACATGGCCAGCTGGGCAGTTAAGGGTCTCAGACCTGGTGGGTTGAAGGTCATGCTGGGCACGTGCATGCCCAAGATCTCAAGAGTAGACTGGAGGAGAGGGGACTGTGGCACGACCATTATAGATTAGCATTAAAACACTAAAATTATAAATGGGTGTATAAATATATTGAAAAAGCTCTCAAAGTATATAGACCTGAGGTGGGGGAAAGAAACTTATTTTGTTCTTCATAGACTTCTCCATTTTCTAATTATAAAAAGAACTTACGTAGATAATATTGTCAGAGTATATATGTAAAAAAGAGAAAGAACAGCAGTCTGTTTCTTGTTCCCTGTTAAAACACTACCGTTTTATCTGCCATCTAGGCCATGTGACTATACCACATTCTGCCCCCGTGGTTCCCCAATTTTCTGTCTGCATCACTGACAATCATCTGCTGAGGACTCTGGTTTCCAGTTCTCCTTCTTACTAGCTGAAACTCTTCCTCTCTTTCCAAATCTTACTTTCTACAAAGTCAATCTAAATAACTTTTCCTAACCATACAATCCCCTGACCTAAATATAACCTTCTTTATTTGCATTCCATCTTACCTTGTCTTTCACAGGACTTTTTCATCACCCAAAATAAGTCCATTTCTGAAATCTTGGACTTATATCTAGTTCATGACAAGCTATTACCCTAACTTCTCTTACAATGGTCATTCCATACATGTTATTCCTCATGTTCTGCAAATTAACTGCCTCCTTTACTCCTTCCCTCTCCCTGTTTAAACAGTTTTCTTGTAGTCATCCCTAAACTCCTTTCCTCTTTGTCTTCCCATCACAGCCAACTCCAAAAACTTCAGTCATGTATATGCCAATCGCTACCTCCATTTTTCCTCCTTTCTAGTCTCACTACCCTAAGTCAGGCCTTCATCACCTCAAGTCAGGCCTTCATCACCTCAAGTCAGGCCTTCATCACCTCTCTCTAGGATTTTCAGTCCTTACTATCATCCTACCTCTCCCCTTCATCCAATCTATTATATATAAAGGTCTGCGTCATATCACTTCCCTGTTCAAAATTCTTCAGTAATTTTCGAGTTACTAGGAAGATGAAGAGCAAACTGTTGCAAGGTAAGTAACTTCCATCATCCCATCATTATCTAGTCCTGCCCTCCATAGAGATCAACTTTGGCCTTGTCCAGTTTCTCTATAACTTCCAACCTTGCACTTCAAATTCAGTAATTCTCAGCTACTCTTGGTTCCCTGAATTGCCCATATGCTTCTTATTCCTCATCCTATTAAAATTTCTGCCTGACCCAAAAATATACTACAAAGCTGTGGTAATCAAAACAGCATGGCATTGGCATAGGAACAGACATGTGGACCAATAGAACAGAAATGAGTCCACAGGAATAAATTCCCAATCATTCAGTCAACTGATTTTTGACAAGGGGTACCAGTCAATCCAGTGGGAAAAGGAAAACCTCTTCAGCAAATGGTGCTGGAAAAACTGGATTACCATCTGTAGAAAGATGAATCTGAACCCCTACCTGTCACCTTTGACAAAAATCAAGTCAAGGTGGATCAAGGATCTAAATCTAAGACCCCAAACTATTAAACTGCTTCTAGAAAAAACTGGGGAAACTCTGGGAGACATTGGGGTAGGGAAA